GCAGTGTGATAGGACTGTTTTCAGAGTCAGGACAAGGTGTCACTCAAGGAGTTCCCCGTGCTTGGGGACAGCCCCAGGGCCTGATCTGGGCTGTTCCCACAAACGAGCCTTCGCTTAGTTACACACGTGGGTACTCGGGTCTGATTGTCCCATCCATCCGTGGACTTGTGCCATTCCGCAGGTGGCTGGATCTCCTGCGCCTGTTGTATGTCGCTGTGTGACTGTGTGTCTGCCTGTGTCCGCGTCCCATGCTCAGTCCTCTCACCGCCCTTGGCTTCTTCCTTCCCAGAGCCAATCCTGGTGTCCCTGAGGCCTGGCTCCCAGCCACTGAGCCCCCGGCCACTGCCTCCAGAGAAGCCCCTCTCCACCCCCACGGCCCGGACCTACCCCCTGCTCTTGGACCACACTGCAAAGCTGTCTGCAGAGGACGGCCAGAGGCCCCTCTCCCAGCCGGAGGGGAAGGCGCCAAGGTGGGCTGCGGAGCACAGGCCCGAGGAGAAGCAGCCCTGGCTCACGAATGGCTTTGATATTTTCGAATGTCCCCCACCAAAGACAGAGAACGAGGTGTGAAGGGGGTCTGCTGGGGGGCGGGGTCAGTGGAAGGGCCCCGAGGGAGGGGGGGAGGGCGGGTGAGAGGTGCAGCGCGCTGTGTGACCTGCCTAGGCCTTCACTCACTGTTCTCCCTCAGTGACCTAGACAGGTGGTGGGAAGCCCTTTGTCAAGTGCCTGGGGCTTGACCTGCTGAGCATCCAGACCCTTCCCCTGCTGACATTCTGGGGTTTCCTGGGCTTTTGGAGTCAACATCTGTTACATCCCTTCTGAGAAGCAGGGCTAGAGGCTTGGTGATCACATTCCCTGGGCAGCCCTGAGGTCAGGGCAGAGGAGCTAAAAGCACAGGGGTGGGTGTCTCACAGAGGGATCTGATCATGGCCTTGGAGCCAGGGCCCGAAAGTCTTCATGCTTCAGTTTCCACGTGTCCAGGGAGGCTACAGACACTGCCCCCTCGTTGGGGATGTCATGAGGATTCAGGGGGATAACGAAGGCCCTTAGCAGGCACCCAACATCTAATAGCTGTTCTACACAGCAGCCACAAATGAGGAGGTTGATTTTCTATCCCCCCAGTTCCCAGAGGAGGAAATTGAAGCTCAGAGAGGGTAGGTAAATTGCCCAGGGTCACACAGTTACCGATGGTGAAAACACCAATCTCCAAATATCCTTTCATCCATCCTTTAGGGATCCACGAAAGCAAAATATGTCTGAATCATTCAAGACTTTTACAAATTGTTGGGTAAACTAAACAAGATCTTTGTAAAAGATCCAAGCAACAGTGACCCTTCATTAATTTAATCACCATTAAATGGCTTTGATATTTTCGAATGTCCCCCACCAAAGACAGAACGAGGTGTAAAGGGGGTCTGCTGGGGGCGGGGTCAGTGGAAGGGCCCCAAGGAAGGAGGGGAGGGGGACAAAAAGAAGTAATGTTTTGGCTCTTCTGCTGGGGACCTGCCCCAGCCACAGTCCCAGGCCACCCAGGTGATCTTGCCCTCTGCCCTATGCTTTTCCAGCTGCTGCAGATGTTCTATCGGCAACAGGAGGAGATCCGAAGGCTCCGCGAGCTGGTGACCCAGCGGGAAGTCCAAGCCAAGCAGTTGGAACTAGAGATCAAAAACTTGCGCATGAGCTCAGCATAGTTCTGAGCAGAGGCCTCTGCCATCCTGGCCCTCAGGGACGCCACTTGGCTCTGTGGGGAGGTCCAGAACCAAACCACAAGTCCCCCAAGAACAACCACTATTTCTATATTTTTTACCAGAAAACAAAACCCTCAGTCACTGAAGGAGATTCCAGTAGGACGTGGTGCCGTTTCCTATTTGCCTTCTCGCAGCAGTTTCTGCACTGACTGATTTTAGATGTTCTGTTGAATTCTGCTTCTGAGGTCCACGTGGAGCTGTGACTTCTCAAGGGGAACGAACACTGCAGGAAGTTAGAGCTGGTAGAAGTGGGGAGGTCAGGCTGCCTGTCATCTCGTGTAGAATGGGGGGAAACGGAGGCAGGAGGGAGTGTCCCCACTCACCCCATCCCAACTGACACATGCTTCATATGTTGGACTATAGAATCCATAATTCTGCTACTCAAAAAAAAAAAAATTTAGAAGTTTGAAAACCAGTGATCTGGCCCAACTCATTCTTTGAAAAGTGAGGAAACTGAGGCTAAGAGAGAGGCAGGTGAGGCTGGGCTGAGCACCTGGTCTCCTGGGTGAGTCTTTCTGCTGTTTCTGGCCCTGTGCACTTCTCAGCCCCCAGGACAGGAATATGTTGGGTCTGGCCTCAACTGGGCCTTGACTGACTTGGTGACCTCTTGCAAAGTCCTTCTTTCTCTGGTCTCAGTCTCTCCATCTTAAGAAGGGGGACTCTGGATGAGCTCCCTCCACAGGATCTGCCACCAGAGACCTTGACTTGAGGAAAACCACATGTGGGGCCTGGGTTTGCTGCAGAAACTCACACTGACCAAGGGGTCAAGTTTAAGGTCAGGGAAATGAATCAAGATTTAGCCCAATTCTAGAACTCAGACAGGCAGTCAAAACCTTCCTTTCCAGCCTGCATCAGATGGATGTGAGTAGACCCTGTCTCCTATGTGGGGATGCAGGCCTCAGAACTGTGTCCTTGACTGCTGACTACACAGCGCCTCCTGCAGGAGAATGTAGGCAAAAGAGCCCCCACTCCCCAGAAGGCAGTGGGTCCCCAGCACGGGGTACCAGCAGAGCCCTGTGGGCAGTTTCCAGAGAGGGATGAATGCACTAGGTAAAAAGTAGGACCACAGATAACCCTGAAGCTCCCTTCTGGCCCAAAAGTCTTCTGCATCATCCCTCTTTTGTGAATCTGTTTCCTGGGTCAATTCAGCAGCCAAGCCAGACTGGGAATGATGAGGAGTAAAACCCATTCCTCCTTCCCCAAGAGGAATGGACATCACATTGGGTGACTTCCCCATCACATTGGGTGACTGGAGCTCAGATGGGGACAGCAGGAGCTACCAGCCTGGTAGGCAGCCCTGTACATTAGAATCCCCTTGACAGCATTCAGGAAATGCAGATGCCCAGGACTCACCTGGATCCACTGAAGCCAACTCTCATGAAGGGGCCTGGCCCTCTGCATAAGCTGCCCAGGTGATTCTGCAATTCAGTGGACTAGTCTGTCAGTAACTATTTGCCGTAAAGATGAGAATAGTGAGTGCCAGACAGGAGCCTGGGAATCAGTGCTGATGGTCGTCTCACACCCCCCCACCCCCACTAGCTAAGGCCGATGTCCCCCGTTAGCACACACCAGAGATCCACGGTCCATGTCTTATCTCCATTTCCTCAGTTACTGAGACTCACTCCCAGCCAAAGCAACAGCCAAGCTTGCCTTACTGTGCCGCAGAGCAAAAAGCCAAGTCCCAAGCATTGTCAGGAAAGTAGAGTCCCTGGATGGAGTAACCCCATGCACTTCATTTGTGGCCACACTTTACAGTTTACACAGCCCCTTGTCCATTCACTGGCACGTGCTACTGGAACACAGGTCTGTGAGTATTATAATCCCCCTGTTCAGAAGGGAAGACCTAGCCTCAGAGAAGTGAAAACCTCATGTCCAAGGTCATTAGCTGCCAAGCTAGAGGTGTGTGTGTGGGTGGGGGGGTGCATCTAGAGAGCTTCTGAACATGACTGCCCGGTGCCATCCCTTCCCAGCTCCCTCCCCCCCAGGGACCCAGACCTCCCACTCAATAGCAGGACGCAGGCAGCTTTGAACAAACTCTTTTTCTTTTTTTACATTTAGAATAAATTATTTAAATTATTTCACAGCAAGGGAGAGGGATAGATAATTTTTATCCGATATTTTTTAGAACCATCTTTTTTAAAAACTCCTTTTTTTTTTTTTTATGTTCTTGAGCTGATGGAGCAGAACATGCCCAGCACTGGACATGTCCTGCACTCGAACAGTCTCCTTACTGCAGACCCCGGGAGCCCCCTTTCTGTTGACTCAGGAACTTTCCGAGGGTGGGGACAGTACTGGGAGATAAAGTTTGGCTGGTGTCCATCTTAGCTCTATAATAATTGTGCTTCCTGGGACAAAAGTTGAGAACCATCATAGAGGGAACAGGAAGTCAGAAATCAATCTATGCTTTTAATATGAAACCGTGCCTGAAACAGTTTGAATGATTATTTTAATGTTTCTGAAATTCCTTGTACCTTTGTAATAAAAAAATAAAAGAAGTAAAAGTGAAAATAGATACGGAATTGTGCAATGGAAAGAATGTAACAAAATAAACATCCGGCTATAGACAGTTTAATACAAGCAGCTTTTCGCTTCTTGATTTTGTTTCACTAATGCCAAGTAAGCAACTACTTTAGAGCCAGAAACAGGGCTGGGAAACAGGGCAGGTCCTAACACAGAGACCCCCTTCTCTTTGGAAGTGGCTGGGAGTATGGAGAGGGGCCAAGATGAGGGCAGTGCTGGCTGTTCTGGGAGGAGAAGCTGGGGAGGCTTCCTAGAGGAGGTGACAGGCCTTAACCCAAAGTTAATGAGGAAAAGAGGACATTTGGGGAGCTGAATGGAACTCCAAGCAGTGAAAAAAAATGCGAGTCCCCCAGTCTGGAATCAAGCAATTGGTGGAGCATCAATATGGCAGGGACCAAGGGTCTTAAAAACCAAGGACCTTGTAAATTCTAGCCTGAGGATAACTGATGTTGGCCAAAAAGCCAAGAAGCGATTCTTTAAATTGTGAAAAGGGGCTCTCCCAGCAAAAAGGCACAGAGTATAAGGGAAAGAGTGTGGGTGATGCTCACTGTCCGGAAAGGCCACCCAACTTGGGTTAGGAGGGAAGCCCATTTTCTTCCAGTCACTTAGCCCAATAGGAGCGAGCCCGGCTTTCCGCGGTGGCCACCTGCGGTCCAGGGCAGGCGCAGGAAGTACCCTGCTGGCGGGAGGATGCAGGGAGGCAGAGTCCTTGGCACCGCCGGATGGTGCCGCAGCTTCGCAGCCGCCCAGCGCCTGGCCAGCCTCCGCCCCGCCCCGGACCCCGCCAGGTTTCGATTCCGTGGGAGCCGCGCGGTTCCGCCCTGCGGGGGCGCGAATGGAGGGCGCTGGGGCGCGGAGCACGACCCCCGGGGGGCTCGGCTGTGCGGGGCCCGAGGAGGCGCGCGGCTGGCTTTGCCCGGAACATAGCGACCGCCCCGCGGAGCTCTTCTGTCGCCGCTGCCGCCGATGCGTGTGCGCGCTGTGCCCGGTGCTGGGCGCGCACCGCGGCCACCCGGTGGGTCTGGCGCAGGAGGAGGCGGCCCACGTGCAGGTGGGGAGCGCGGGTGCAGGTGGGGAGCGCGTAGCGCGCGGGGAGGGGGCCGAACCCCTGAGTAACGGACAAGGAGAGCGCGTGCCCGAGGTCCCACTGTCAGTTCCCTGTTAGGAGCTGGAAACGTGAAGATGGCCCCAGAGGTCATCAAGGGGATAGACCTAAGAACCAGAGACTGAGGCCAGAGGAAGGGCAAAAGTGATCCAAGGCCACCTGGTCAGCTTCAAAAGAGGTGGGTTTAGGAGTGGGAACTGGGGAGCCCAGGCTGGTACCCAGATGTCCTTGGCCTTGACCACCATGATGGTCCACCCCACTACCGTGGGCTATTAGAAAAGCTACTTCTTAGTTAACAGAAGTGAACCCCATCTACCCACAGATGGCAAACACCCACACAGAAAGCGACCCAACTGTGAATCGTACCATTGCTCTAGAAGTGGCCTCAATGGCCCCTCTATCTCCCTGGGTGCACCTCTCTTCCCTGCATGCCTTGCAGCTCCACAACCCAAGCCAGCTGTTAATAGTATTAGCCATTTATTAATAACAAAAGGAATGTTCGGGAGCCGGCCTTGAATTCAGTCCTCCACCAGCCAATAGCCCCCACCCAGGGAGATGCTTTTCATCTTGAATCCCTCACTCTGATGTAACACTGTTAATGGCCAGGGTCTCGGGACTCCTGTGCCAGCCCTGCTCTGAACTTGTTCTGTGGCTCTGGTCAAATCCCTCTTCTCTGGACTCCCTGAAGGTCTGCCTAGCTCTCCAGTCTCTACAGACCTAGATTCTACCATATCCATCCCAAAGAAGTCCTCTGTGAGGAGCCCTGCCCTGAGAGAACTTTTTCCCTACACAGCATGACTTAACACCACCACACTGTGACAATCTTGGCGTTCCAAGGAGAAACTGGACCCATTAGGGGGCTACTGGTGGAGACCTGGGTTCAAGGCCTGCCAGGGCCTTCCTGTTGGTCTCTATAAAATGGCTGTAATAATAATACTTGCTCCCCAGAGCTATGTTATTCAGAGTTAAGAAGGCTGCTTTCCAGAGATACGGTGTTCCATTTGTCCACCTGCCTGACCACCTTTCTTTGCACACCCATGTTGCATCCACACATCTACACACTCACCTATCTGTCCATCATCCATTCATCCATCACATCTATCCATACCTTGTGCCATAGGTGTGTCAAGTCATTGATCCTATTCTTCTCTAACCTGGAGGAGTTCCTGGCTGGTTGAGGGAGGACAGAGGGTGACATTACAGTGTGATAAGCCTTTTAAGGTAGTGGTGAGAACCAGATGGAAGAGAACTGGAGGCAGGATGCCCCAGAAGATTTCTTGGGGAAAGTGTCATTGGAAGTGGCCTTGAAGGATGGGTCAGATCCCAAGACACCTGGGTCTGGAGGAAACAGGCACCTGGAGGTTGGGGGTGTTCTTGACCCATGATGGACAGGACCTGGGTGCAAGGGCACCTGCCTGTCATCCCAGCAACTTGGAAGTCTGAAGCAGGAGGATTGTAAATTTGAGGCCAGCCTGGGCAACTTAGTGAGCCCCTGTCTCAAAAAATAAAAAGGGCAGGAGATATAGCTCAGTGGTAGAGCACTCGCCTAGTATATGTGAGACCCAGCGTTCAATCCCCAGTACCAAAAGAAAAAAGCAGCAAAGAAGGAAAAAATAGCAATTTCGAAAAGCAGAGCTGGGCCAGGTAGGAGGAGCAGTCCAGCCCTGAGTGATACCTTATGTGGCCTCTAAGGATCAGTGTGGCCCAAGTCTCAGCTCATCCTCCAATTTGCCACCAGACTTGGGGCGAGTCATCTCACCTTCCAGTTCTCAGATACCTCTGCTGACAAAAAGCATAGGAGTGAATAGAGATAAGGGTCTGTTATCTGAAAAGGGACAGAGATTTGAATTTTTTTCCCTTCTCTCATCTACAGAAACTCATCCAAGAATGTTTACAGCAACTGGAGACCAAGAAGCAGCATCAAGTTGGCAACATCACCCAGATAGAAGATGCAGCTGAGAAGCTCAAGGCAAGTGGACGCTTCTTCCCTCTTCCAGTGGGGTTGTCCACATTTCCCCTCAGACGTGAGTGTCCCCTAGTATGGCATCAGGGAAAATAAAGACCAATCTTAAAGGGGAGGTCAGTGTGGTGGGCCTGGAGCTGACGGACAAATTCAATGCAGAACCATGAAGTGGGCCCTGAGACTGCCGCATCATCAGCCACGGGGAGAATCTGCCTGGGCCAGCGCCCCAGCCCTACCTCCTGCCACCGCCAAGGCGCCATCTTGTAGCAGCTGCTCTTCTCTCCTGGGGCTTCTAGACCTCCACCTCCCACACTCCAAATTGCCTTAAATAGAGCAAAATGCAGTCTACTAGTTGGGCGCAGTGGCGCACGCCTGTAATCCCAGCGGCTTGGGAAGCTGAGGCAGGAGGATCATGAGTTCAAAGCCAGCTGATCAGCAGTTTAGCAAGGCCCTAAGCAACTTAGTGAGACCCTGTCTCTAAATTTATAAAAAGGAGGGGGTGGTGCTGGGAGTGTGGCTGAGTGGTTAAGTGCCCCTGGGTACAATCCCAGTACCAAAAAAAATTCAGTTTACTGAACATACAAATTTCTCTTAAGGTCTCTCCGCCATGAATGAAATTAAATAAGGTATACATATATTGTATAAATACATACTTCTTCACGCTTTCCCTTTCATACAATGTGTATTTTCTGTATCTATTTCCTTATTTTTTTTATTGGCACTGGGGATTGTGCCCGGGGTGCTGCTCTCCACTGAGCTACACCCCCAGCCTTTTTTATTCTTTTATTTTGAGGCAGGACTACACTCAGTTGCCCAGGTTGGCCTCAAACTTGTGACTCTCCTTCCTCAGCCCCCAGGTAGCTGGAATCCCAGGCCTGTGCCTCTGTGCCCAGCTGTACAATCTTTACTTAAATGGATTCTTTTGAGGGTTTTGGGCACAAAGTTGGGTCTGACACTGTGAGTTTCCACTTTGACTATGAAAAAGTTGTCACTTCTTTAGGTGCCTTCTGTGAGAACTCAGGTGGGTCCTTGTTCCCCTGGGCCTCAGCGGCTCCCTCCTCACAGTGAGGGCTGGAATGGGGGATGCCCTACAGGGTCCCACCTCACAGAGGCCTGGTGCTGCTGACTGACCCACACAAGGCAGAGGGGAAGACTGGCTCTGGCCGGGGGAGCCGCTGGCACCAGCTCTTCCCAAGCCAGGCCCACAGTAGTGTGGAGCAGGGCCTGAAAACCACAGCATGCTAAGGCCATGAAGAGGCCTCCATCTTTGCCTGACCTCTGTTATCTGCCAGGTGTCTACGTGCCCCAGTGTGATGAGACCTTTGTGGCTCACACTCATGGCCTCTGTTTAATTATTAATAGTGTCCCTCATGTCTCCAAAAGCATGACTCGGGGCTCAGGAAGATATGACTGTTCAAAAGAACTTGGAAAATGAAAGTTGGCGAGTGCCTCTCTGCAAAGGGTGGGGGAGGCGCCCGGCTGTTCGTCCTGAAGAAGACAGCCACGGTGCAGGTCCGCTGCCTGCAAATCCCTGAGCAGATACAGTTTGGAGGTCCCCAGGGAAAGACATAGGACCCTCGTGGAGGGCCTAAGGGCTGTGGAGGTTCCAGCAACTTTTTGATTTAAAATAATCATAGATCCAAAGGAAACTGCAAAGATAGTACACAGAAGTTTTGTGTACCTCCTCCTAGTTTGCCCCCAAGAATTGTGTACCTCTTATATAGCTATAGTGTAATATCAGAATCAGAAAATATTTATGTCCATTTCCCCGGGCTGGCCTTGAACCCCTGAGCTCCTGCCTGGCCAACCTGTAGCTGGGGTTGCATGCTGCCAATATCGGTGTTAAAGGCTGTATATTCCATTCTTTGTATATTCCATGATTCATCAAGCCATTTTCTGCATGTCAAACAGTTAGATTATACCTGGTTTTCCCCTAATGCAAAAACAGTAGTGCAGAGAACATATTTTGGCCCCTTGATTTGCCTCCTTTGGGACAGGATCCTAGAAGGGACACATTGCAATAGGCACAGCATGTGTGAGAAACCTAAGGCATCCTGTGGAGTCGCGGCCCATGTGGTTTGTGGCAGAGAGGTTGGGGCAACCACGCCTCCTGCAATGGCAAATGAGGGGAAAGACCGTTCGCATGGAAACAGCCTTGTAAACAGATCAATAAAGTTTGTGCAAGGTCCAGAGTCTGTTGTACAGAAGCCAGTGACCAGGACTAATCACCCACTCCCTTTTCAGGGCACAATTGAGAAGGACTGGATCATTAATCCCCAGTCAACACCCATTTATGATCACATCCTTGTTAATAGGCTTCCCCCATCATGGCACCTTAGGGGCCAATATATCCAGGTGCAGGGAAAATCCAACACCCGCCCGCAACCCTCTCTACTCAAATGGGAATAGATGACACTACATCTCTTCTATGCTCTTCTTCCCGGTTTCTTCCAAATTTTCTTTTCCCAGGGCTTCACACATGCTAAGCAAGTACTCTACCACTGAGCTACATCCCCAGTCCTTTTTTTATTTTTAAATTTTGAGACAGGGCCCTGCTAAATTACCAAGGCTAGCCTCAAATTTGTGATATTCCTGCCTCAGTCTCCCCAGTAGCTGGATTACAAGATTATGCCACCACACCTAGCCTGAATCTTCCAAATTTTCTGCAGTAAGCTTTTGATTTTTTAAAAAATTATAAGAAAGTGTGTGTGTGTGTGATTTTTTTAAATTGATTACTATCAAATCCAGATATAGGCTAGGGATTTAGAATGTGCATAGGTTAGCTAGGCACAGTGGCACACATCTATAATACCAACTGTTCAGGAGGCTGAGGCAGGAGGGCGGCATGTTTGAGCCCAGCCTGGGCAATTTAATAAGATCCTGTCTCAAAATAAAATATAAAAAGGGTTGGGATGTAGATCACTGGCAGAGCATTTGTATAACATGTGTGAAGCCCAGAGTTCAACCCTCAGTACAGAATAAAAAAAAAAAAAAAGAAGAACTTAGGCTGTCAGAGCCAAAGGCCATTCTAAAGCACTATTTTATTTTATTTTTTAGAAGAGAGAGAATTTTTAATATTTATTTTTTAGTTTTCAGCAGACACAACATCTTTGTATGTGGTGCTGAGGATCGAACCCGGGCCGCACGCACGCCAGGCGAGCGCGCTACCGCTTGAGCCACATCCCCAGCCCAAAGGCTATTCTAGATGACGCTCAAGGTTGGGTATGGTGGCAGGAGCCTATTGTCCAGGCTACTCAGGAGGCTGAGATACGAGGATCATTTGAGCCCAGGAGTTGGAGGCCAGCCTGGTCAACAAAACAAAAAGCGAGGAAATAATTTCTCACTGGTCACATGGCGAGGTGGGACCTGGGCTACAGCTGCATCCACCAAGTGTACCCAGACAGAAACCACTCTGAGGGGTCCAGCAGAGGGATGTGCCCAGGGAGCTATGGCTCAATCATGGAAGAGACCAAGAAGTCAACCAGAGGTCATGAGGCACCCCAGCCCCTGGGCCAGTGTTAGCAGAGTGCAGGGGCCAGGGCCCCAGGGCAGAAGCTAGAACCAGACCAGGCCTGCCCTGGGGGAGCTGGAGGACGAAAGGGACTCGGGGAGAGCCTGCCCTGGTGAAGGGGTGCTGGGGCAGCCCCCCTGCCTCACACTCTGGTCTCCCTCTAGCTCCTCTCTCTATAACCAACCGTGAAGGAGGATTTTGGAAATTCAGACTGCAGGGCTCAGCCCTCTGCCCCACAGAACAAAGCAGAAAGTACCTGAGCAGGGTGCAGGGGTACTCGCCTGTCATCCCAGCAGCTCAGGAGGCTGAAGCAGTAGGATCACAAATTCAAAGTTGGCCTCAGAAACTTAGCGAGGCCCTAAGCAACTCAGTGAGACCCTGTCTCTAAATAAAATTTTAAAAAAGGGCTGTGGATGTGGCTCAGTGGTTGAGAGCCCCCGGGTTCAATCCCCAGTACCAAAAAAAAAAAAAAAAAAGTGGACCTGAGATACACGGGCCCAGGCTGGCATGCAACACAGTAACTGCTGGAGGCTGAACTCAGTAGCCTCAGATCCTACTCTGGGACCCACCAAAGCTGCAGGAATGGAATCAGAGCATGCAAGCAGGGGACCAAGGGGGTGACACGAGCCAGCCTTTGCCAGACTGGAAATGGAAAGATGAGGACCCTGTGAGGTCTTGCTGTTGATGTTGATGTCACTGGTCTCCCCTGTTGGCCCTGGCTACCCCTCCTCCGGACAGCCACAGCCACCATATCACAGTCCTGGGGGCCCCAAAGCTCCTGTGGCCCGGGCAGGGTTGGAGGGCCTGGCTCCCTTCCCAGGTGGCACAGCCCAGGAGAGGTGCCCCGCAGGGCTGTCCAGTGTCATACTGAGTTTTCAGGAAGCTGCTCTTTGCATCCTTCTCACAGTCCCCTCACTCTCCATGGGACCCCAAGATGGATTCACATAGCGGACAGCTCTCCATGGACAAAGCCCCCCGCCCTTCCCTGACCCAGGGCTCCATGGCTGGTCTCCCTCTTTCTCAGAATCCTAAGGCTCCTCTCAGCTGGACCCCATCAGGCTCTTACCAGCCACCAGCTGCACCCAGCTGTGTCTAAACCCCAGCCAGTTCCACCTGGGGTCCAGTTCCATTTTGAATCCCTGTGGCCCAAACCAGCACTTCCTTGTTTCATTATCAGCGCTCTCCTCCCCCTCCCCTCCCCTGTCTTAGCTGTGTTGTGTAACCAACCCTAGCTGCTTAGACAGGAAGTCTTCTGCGGTTTTTTTTTTCTTTTTGGTACTGGGGATTGAACTCAGGGGCACTCAATCACTGAGCCCCATCCCCAGCCCTATTTTTTATTTTATTTAGAGACAGAGTCTCACCGAGTTGCTTAGCTCCTTGCTTTTGCTGAGGCTGGCTTTGAACTCTTGATCCTCCTGCCTCAGCCTCCCTAGGTGCTGGGATTACAGGCATGCACCACCTCGCCCAGCTCTTCTGGTGTCTTTAATCGTTCCTCCTGCATTGGGTGTGGTGTCATGAAGCCTCTTCTGTGTATTGCTCTTGACTAAGGCACTGCTTGGCACAGCTTGGTTAGGAGGAGACACCTGCCTCTCGTTTATTACGTTGCCTCCACCATGTTCATCTCTCCAGGGTTTGGAACACATTTTCTTTCCTTCCCTTGGTCATTCAGTGAAGATGTATTCTTGTTTAGGTGCATGGACCTACTGCAACTTTGTTATCGGGGCCAGCAGGTGCAGACTGGTCCTCTCCATCCTAAAGCCAATTGAATCCATGAGGTCTGAGGGATGAGCTAGCCCCAGAAGCCAAGCACCACCTAAAGAACCATAGAGGAAACCCAGCTGGGGAGCTCACCTCCTGGGTCTTGCCAAACCACACAGTAGTCCCACTAAGAAGAGAACATGGGGAGCCTGCCCCAAGCCCGGCCAGGTACAGGGGTCCTTCTGCTACGTGGATTACACAGATGTTTGGGCTGAGGAAAGGAGCTGGCTTATGGTTTTGGAATTTTTTTCCCAATTGATTTCTATTTTATTATTTCATAAGTGAAATAATAATAAAGTGAGAGCCTGTCATTCCCATCTCTCCAATCCCACACCTCCTTCCAGACAGGACCTCTGCTAACATTTTCATTGCACTAGTAAATATACACAGGGAGGTATCCTTATGCAGTGTTTGCTATGTTTTATGTAAGTGGGATTATTGTGCATATGTTATTTGGACACTTGCTCCTTGCCACCAAGCCAGGACACATAGCTCTACTGTATTCTTCATGTATATATATTTTATGGTAGTAAAATATACGTAACATAAAATCAGCCAGTTTTAAGTGTTCATTCCTGGGTGGTAGTTACATTCACAAGGTTGTACAACATCACCCAAAATAGAAACTCTGAAACCATTAAACAGTCACTTCCCACTCCTCCTCCCCCAGCCCCTGGTAACCTCTACTCTGCTTCCTGTCTCTATGTTGCCTATTCTAGGCATTTTGTGTAAATGCAGTCATAACATTATTTGTTCTTTTGTGGCTGGTTTATTTCACTTAGGAAAATGTCTTGGAGGTTCATCCATGTTGTAACATATGTGAGAACAATGCATTCTTTTTCATTATTATAAATTATTTCACCTTATGAATGTAGCATAACTTATATAAGTAACATACATGCATGTCCCATATTGGAAACTGCACCCAACTCTTCTCTGGACTCCATGGATAATGCTATAGTGAGAATCACATGGTCGTGACGCTCATGTGAGCACATTTTGTAGGATCAGTTCCTATAAGGGGAAAAATGGTGTCTTTAGAGTCATGAATCTTCTCAATCAGGGATGTTTTTTTTTTTCTTTTTTAAATATTTTTTTAAATAAATGACAGTGGATGCGTTACATTTCTTATTACACATATAGAGCACAATTTTTCATATCTCTGGTTGTATATAAAGTATGTTCACACCAATTCGTGTCTTCATGCATGTACTTTGGATGAGGGTGTCCACCACATCCCACCCTCATTGCTAGCCCCCTGCCCCTGCCCTTCCTTCCCACCCTCTGCTCTATCTAGAGCTCGTATTTTCCTCCCATGCTATGGTTTTTTTCTTTCATGCAGTTGGAGGGTTTTTCTGTCTTTCAGTACAGTTTTATTCTTTTCTTTATCTAGGTGCTGGGAATTAAGCTCAGGGCCTTGCAGATAACTGGGCAAGTGCTTTGCCACGGAGCTCTGCTCCCAGACCATTTCCGTTTCTGTTAAGTTTATTTTTAGATATTTTGCTATTTTCCTCCTTACTTTAAAAAGCATCTTTATTAGCTGGGCACAGTGGCGCACACCTGAAATCCCAGCAGCTCCGGAGGCTGAGGCGGGAGGATTGGGAGTTCAAAGCCAGCCTCAGCAGTGAGGCCCTAAGCCTCACAGCAAGACCCTGTCTCTAAACAAAATATAAAAAGGGTTGGGGATGTGGCTCAGTGGTTAAGCACCACTGGGTTCAATACTCGGTCCCAAAGAAAGACAAAAAAAGCATCTTTATTTCTCCATGCACTTTCTGATGGATGCTGGCCAGTACTTACACAAGTTTTAGTTGTTATGAGTTGATCTTGTATCTGTCACTTTACTAAACTTAGTTTGTAGGCATTATAAGTTTTTTTTTCCATGTCAATTATTCTGGAAATCTTGATTGGCAAACTTATCATCTGCAACTGGTTTTCTTTTTAGGCTCACGCAGAGTCAAGTAAAACCTGGCTGACGGACAAATTCACTGAACTCAGATTACTACTTGATGAAGAGGAAATGCTGGCCAAAAAATTCATTGATAAAAACATGCAGGGGGCCCTCCAGGTGTACAGGGAGCAAGTGGAGTCTTGCAGGAAGCAGATTGACGTCATGGGCAGTCTCTCCAGCAGGGTCTGGGGTATCAGCCAGGAGCCCAACCCTGTTCAACTGCTGCAGGTAAGTTGGGGTCTCTGCTCTTGCTGCTGCCACATGCCACCCCATTCCACCTCGGCTGTTATGGCCCTGAGCACAGTGTTCCTGTAACATGTAAAGGGCATGGAGATCTGCTTGTCAGCATGTGGATTTTCTTGCTCGTGCACGAGTGTGCAGAGTGCATGTTGTCAGGAAGATGAGAGACATCTTGGACTAATTAAATAGTATCAGCCAACATCATTTTCAAGGGCTTTTGTGTTCTAAGCATTTTTTGTATCTCAGCTCTGATAGTTACTACAACTCTACAAAGTGGACTTCTCATCCCATTTTTGCAAATGAGAATTTGAGGCTCAGGGAGGTGAAGTGGGCTCACATAGCTGCCAGATGGCAGAGCTGGGATCACACCCAGATGTGTCTGAACCAATCCAATCCACAAGGCAGTGTTTTGTTGTTGTTGTTGTTGATTTTTCTTTTACTGTCCTGGGAATTGAACCCAAGGATGCTCTAACACTAAGCTACATCCCTAGCCCTTTTTAATATTTTATTTAGAGACAGGGTCTTCTGAGTTGCATGCAGTGGCTGGTCTGGAACTTGTGACCCTCCTGCCTCACCTCCAGAGTTGCTAGGAAGATAGGTGTGACCCACCACAACAGCTACTCACCCCCTTTTTTAATTTTTTTCATTTTTGTTTTGAGACAGTCGTCCAGGTTGACCTCGAACTTGCAATCCTTCTGCCTCAGCCTCGCAAGTAGTTGGGATTACAGGTGTGCACACCGTGCCTGGCTCTGCTTAGAGTGTTAAGACACCTCTCCTGAGGGGATTCTGGTATCATAAAACACAGCTTCAGGGCTTTGGCATTGCTTTCTTCCATTTTCTTGTGCCAGAGCTCCTGGTTTTGACCATTCATCATCCCTCTCTCCTGTTCATTTGTTTATGTATTCCTCCAGTACACACTGAGCTGGGCCATCTGCAGAACGTGAGGAACTCACAGTGGGGCAGAGAGACATGCTAAGAAACAGATGTATACAAAGCAGCTCAAGCAAATTAGCAAAAGTATGTCCAAGAAATGATCTCACTGTCTATGGGGGTGGGGCCAGGTCAGGGAAGACTTCTAGGAGGAGGCTGCTGTAGAGGGGGGTGTGAAAAAATGAGTAGGTGTTAACAGAGGGACAATTCAGAGAGGACATCCGGGCAGTTTGGAAATATGGACCCGTGAGAACCTGGCAGGCAGGAGAACTTTAGAGTTTGTCCTGTAAAGAGATGGCAGCCAGGAGCGTGTTTGGAACTGAGGAATGAAAGCGTTGGCTTGGGCATGTTACTTAGGTGATGGGGTGGGAATGGACTGGGGTCCCTCCAAGGCCGGAGGTTGGAGGGGAGACCATGGGGTCCCGGGGAGAGATGATGGTGGCCAGGACCCGGGTAGGGGCAACAGGGCGGGGAAAGGCAGGTTCAGAGATGCAACAGGATTGGAGTTTGGAAGAGGAGGGTGAGGACGGATCCAAGGTGGTACTTGGGTTTCCTGCTTGAGAAATGGCGGCTGGTTGGGTGGGGATTTTTCTCTGAGTCTACAAAGGCGAAAGTCAGATGTGCTCAATTTCACTCATTTAATCCATCATACAGATCTGTTGAGAATCTACTGTGTATCAGGTCCTGCCAGACATGGGTGCTTGAGTTACCAGATGGTAGCGTTTTGTCCTCTCTTGGACCCCAGCCCTACCCCACCTACATACTCTTCGGGCCAGCCTCCCACCTTCTCGGGGCTGCTTCCGGCCACCCCTGTATTTTTCTGCTTGTGTTCTGTCCCCTGGTCAGCTCTAAGTGGAACCTTAGCCCTGGTTCCCACCAAAGTGAGTATGGGCTCTTGCCTTCTTGACTGGAAGCCTCCCTCAGCCCCCTCCCAACACATAGGCTCCCGCCAGGTGGGGCACCCATCCACCCAGGCCTTGTGGGGTAGCTCTGCCTGCCAGCCAAGGCCTGCTCACCTGGGGCAATCTCCCTCCTTGCCCAGGACAACCCTTTTGAAACCTGAGAATACAGGCTCGTAACTGTAGTATAGGAATATAACGGTTTTAAGCAAGGAAAGAGTTGATGAGCCAAGAGAGGTGGGGCATGCCTGTGACCCCAGCTACTCCTAGGCTGAGGTAGGTCTTGAATCGCAAGTTCAAGACCAGCCTGAGCAACTTAATGAGACCCTATGTCAAGATAAAAGATAAAAAGGGCTGAGGATGTAGTTTGGTGGCACATGTCCCTGGGTTGGGTTGGGCCACAAAAACAACAATGGAGAGTTTATGAAGGAGTATGAGGTCACCCACAGGACCTCCAGGAGGACCAGAGAGTCAGGAGGAAAGACCAGGCCACAGCGGGTTTTGTGCCGGTGTAGACCCCACCATGCTTCTGCTGGGCAAGACCTCAGGCCTCCAGCGCCACTGTCCCTGAGAGCCACATGCCACCATCATTACCTCCCCCTCACTTCCAAATCCTGGACTTGAGTTGGTGGGATCTCATCACATGCCTGTGCCCTGGTGCAAAGAGAGCTGGGAAGGGAGCGTTTCCTGGCTTCTACTTAGCAAAGCCACACAGCTAAGGCGGCTGTCAGCTGGAAAACAGGACACATGCCCTCTGTGGTGGCCACACCCCCCACAGTCATCTCTCCAACTGAACCTTCCAGGGTCCTCAGTTTCCCTCCTGGGACATGGTCTCCTGCTCTATCCTGTGGACAAGCCCCAGGGACTCCTCCTTCAGGAAGACTGGCCTCTCTTTCTGGGGCCCTGTGCCTGAGGTAGACCCCTGTTAAGTGTCTCCAAGGCTGAAGCCTCATAGGGAGGGACCCCATGAGATGGAGAGCACCTAAGGGCAGGTAGTCACTGGCTCCCACCTCTGTTCCTCAAAGCTACCGTGGGGGAGGCCTCAGAGCACTGGGAAGGGAGGGAGGGAAACTCGGAGGGAGGGAAGGAGGGACTCCGCAGCACCAGCCCTGAAATGAGCTCCACATGCCTTCCACTCAGGCCCGTAGGCTGTCTGTGTGGTGCTGCTCTGGGGACATGGCCTGGGCTAGCCAGGGTGCTGGGGTAAGCTGGGGTCTGGTGCCTGGTCTGGGCTTGTTCCTGGGTGCCACAATGGAGGCTGGGATGCCGCCTGCAACCTCCAGCATTGCCCTGACCCCTGTGCCACCCTCACAGGCCTACACAGCCACTGAGCAGGAGATGAAGCAGCACGCGAGCCTCGGGGAGCTGAGCCACCCCGTGCCCCTGTCCTTCGAGCCCATCAAGAGTTTCTTTAAGGGCCTTGTGGAAGCCATGCAGAGTACGTTTCAGACACCACTAGATGTTCGCCTGAAGGAAAGTAAGTCACCATGTGACCAACTTTGAGTCCTTAACTCCCAAGTGCTCTGTCACCCAGAGACAACTGCAAGGGTTGCCACCCTAAATGGTGTCTCCCTCTCACACAGGCCCTTGTCTGGGCAGGCAAGGGCTCCTGGGCCTGGTGCCCAGCCCCACTTATGACTCCAGCATTGCCGCAGTCCGGTTGGCTGCAGCAAAATAACCTGGGGGGGTGACGAATAACTTGTGTACGTTGATACAGCAGGAGTAGGAGCCGTTTATTGCAGGACAGGAGCAGTATTTATACATTCCACACAGCTTATCTAATTAGCATAAACTAGATACATCAGTCAACCAATAAGGAATCTCCGCACTTAATGGCTCGCTTTTGTTACTTCTCAAACCACTCCCTCTGGCATTTTGCCAGGCACCATCCAGACTTGTTTACAAACTCTAACATCCCCCTGGCAAAAGCCAGGTGTTATTTTGACTTGTTTACAGACTCTAACACAACATCACCTCCTACCCTTCCCAAGATGGTGTCTGCCTGCCTCTCCCCAGCCACAGGGCTCTGCTCTGTCCCAACCATTCCTGCAACCCTGTCACACCTCAGCCTTGCCCACTCTGGGCTCCCAGCAGGGTGGCTAGCCCTCACTCCTCTCCCTTTCTTCTCTGGGACCCATGTCCTTCCTGGGGTGTTGATGAGATAGATTCAGGGCCTCACAAATGCCCAAAGGGCAGAGACCACTTTGGGTACAGCTCCAAGATCCCCACAGGGCCTGGAACAAAACAGGTACTTAGAGGTTCTTTCCTGACTCCTTCACTCACTCACCGCTGTGATGCTTTGCTCAGAACACTGACAGAACCCTACTATGTGGCAGGCCCAAAGGGCCCATGACATAGCCCGTGCTTTTGTGGTAAAAGAAGGAAGGTCCCATTTTCTGAAATGGGAAGGAGCCCTTAGGATTGGAGGGAAGGACTGTTTGGACCTCCTGGGTGTGGGAGGCTTGAGCTACCGTGTGCTGATCTCACACAGGTAATAGGATGGATGGTTCTAGAGTTCTAGGGAGAGGAGAGAGACCTTCTTCTCCTAGAGGTTGGCCTCCCACAACCATCGCAGGCCATGGGGATGAATGAGTGCCCTGAGAGCGATGGGTGGGGCAGGGGTGCCTCTGAGGAGCTGGTCTGGGGAGGTGGTGAACTCACCAAGGTGCCCCCCTGAATGCTCTTGAAGGGACAGCCTCCCGCCCTTTTTCTTAGAACTGGATCCTTCCCAGGACTCAGCTCTAATGGTCTGGCATCAACCTCCACCTGGAGGCTGCCTCCCATCCCAGAGTGCTGCATTCAGGAGCTGATCTACTCTAGGGCTCTCCATGGCCTGCCCCCACCGAGCTACTTGTGGTCCTGGAGAATCTGGGTCACTGTGAATTTGCATTTCCTATTCCAGGAGGGGAGAGTGTGCGAATCTTTTTTGTGTGTGGATCTGTGCTGCTCCCAGAGCTCTAGGCGATCATTTCTCACTCTTCCTTTCAGACATCAACTGCCAACTCTCAGGCTCCTCCAGCACCACACTTGGGACCCTGCTGAAAACGAGCCCCTCACCAGAGAGATCGCTCTTCTTAAAATGTAAGACCCCAGGAGTGGAGAGAAGGTGGAGGGGATGGGAAGGACAGGTGCAGGGGGGGAAGAGCAATGAGAGCCCCCCACCCCCTCGTTTTCTGTTAAAGAGACCCAACTTATGTTTTGGTTTTTTCAAAAACTTTTATTAGTAGTCTTTTAATAATAGATGTTCATTGTAGCAAAATTAGAAAACAAAGGATATTACTGAAAATCTTTCCCATATTTAACTAGTATGATTTGTCCTTTTACCTTTTTTTATTTTGCATAGCTAATGTACATATAGTGATGTAACATGGTATCATACTATACACATTCTTTTATGGTCTGTGTTTTCATTTACTGATATATTGTGAATATCTCTGTTCCCTTAAAAATTATAGGTAAGAGGCCGGGATGTAGCTCACAGGTAGTGTGTTTGCCTAGCATACAAAGACCCTTGGGATTGATCCCCAGCACTGAAAGAAAATAATAGTAGGAAGAAAATAATAGACGTAAATCCTGCCAGGAGGGGGGTGGGTGGGAGGAGAATAGAAGTTCAGTGGATTAGAGAAAGGGGAATGAAGGGAAGGGAGGGGAGACAGGAAAAGGAAAGATAGTGGAATGACTCTGACTACTTCCCTGTGTACATATATGAATACACCAAAGTGACTCTCACTATCATGTACATCCACAAGACTGGGGTCCTAATTAGAATAAGATATAATTATATTGTATAGTTATATCAAAATGGACTCTACTGTCATGTATAACTAAAAATAACATATAAAAATTTTTAAAAAATTTTAAAAAGAGGGGCTGAGGCCATAGCTCAGTGGCAAAGCGCTTGCCTAGCATGTGTGAAGCACTAGGTTGGATCCTTAGCACAACATAAAAATGAGACAGATAAAATAAAGGCATGATGTCCATCTACAACTACCAATAAATAAATAAGTAAATAAATAAATAAGAGAATTATAGAGGCAAATCTTGAAGAAAATCACAAAATATAGGTGTACAAAGGAAAACAACTACCTCTCCCAGAAATAAATGCTGCTAATATTTTTATCTATTTTTTTCAGACATTACAAAACATACATGTATGGGTATTTTCAATTGGAAGCATATTTTCATATTTTATATTCTATTATATTCTTTTAACATAACAGTATAGCTTAAATACTTTTCTATTTCAATAATACATTATTATTCATGAATGGATCATATATAATCATTCTCATACTGCTGAACATTTAGAGAGGTTTACATTTTCAATCCATTTTGTTCATTTTTGTTGAATTAATGAGTGGATGAATATGCCTTAACTTATTTTCTAATTATTTTTTAAGAATAATTAAAGAATTACTGGACATACATTTTTTTCTTTCTCTCTCTATTTTGGTACTGAGGATTGAACCTAGGGCATTTAATCATTGAACCACTTACCTAGCCCATTTTCATTTTTTATTCTGAGACAGGCCTCGCCAATTTGCCAAGGCTGATTTTGAACTTGTGATTCTCTTGCCTCAGCCTCTGGAGCCGCTGGGGAGAAAATGAAATTTTAAAAATACACTATTTTCAGTAACATTTTCTTTAAAAGTAGGAAAGAATCTAACAGTTGATATGTAAAACCTCTCCACAGAAAACCCTAAAAACATTACTAAAGAATTTAAAGACAGCTTAAATAAATGGAAGGATAGATCATGCTTATGCATCAAGATAGTGTTATTTCCTGTACTACAGACTTGGTGACTTAAAACAACACAAATTTGGGGCTGGGGTTGTAGCTCAGTGGTAGAGCACTTGCCTAGCATGCAAGCGGACTTGGGTTCCATCCCCAGCAGTGTCCCCTATCCCAAATGCCTTAAGTTACCCACAGTGACTTAGGTCTGGGCCAGTATTGGAGCCCAGATCAAAACCCCCTCACCAGCCACCAGGCAAGTCTAAAATGGTCCCTACCTAACCCTTCAGGCCAGGATTTCAACCTGGGAGATTTGACTGTTATCTCAGGGGAAGGATCAGCAGGTGACTTGCTAAGCAACCAAAGGTATTTTTCCCTATTACAGTTCCGTATGTACAGTTCTGTAGGATGTAAGTGCAACAAAATCTCACTGACAAAATCAAGGCTGGGCTTCTTTCTGGGGAAAACCTACCCCCTTGCCTTTTTCCTGTTACTAGAGACTGCCTGAATTCCTTGGCTTGTAGCCACTCTTTCCATCTTCAAAGTTAGCAAGTATCCATCTTTTTGCCCCTCCTGTGATCACATCTCCATCCAAGTCTGCCTCCCTTCGGCTTTAATTAATTAATATGGGGCTGGGTTGTGCCTCAGCCGTAGAGGGCTCGCCTAGCACGTGCGAGGAGCTAGGTTCGATCCTCAGCAACACATAACAATAAATAAAGATATTGTGTCCAACTACAAGTAAAATAGATAAATAACCAACCCAACTCCTGTAATTGACTACATTGGGTCCACCTAGTGGTGCCCACTATCCACCGCGCCCTGCAAAATGCTCTCTTGAGAGTATCTGATGTGGTAAAGTGTTCATCGATGTATCAGTAAATTTTAAAAATCAGATTACCTAAGAGCATGTGGAGTATGATACCAATATTAAGAAAAACTAAACGTCAAGTTAAGGACAGAAAAAGATTGGAAGGACACACACCCAGCGTTAACAGTGATAGGATTCTTTATAATAAATTTTTAGAGACTGGCGGTAAATTCCATGGTACAAAATTCAAACATTAAAAAGGATATATATATATATATATATATATAGTAAAATTTTCTCTCCTTCCCCTTCCTCCAGCCGCAGAGGAAATCGGGGTAAAGGGTGGCTTTCCCTCGCGCCTTCAGTAATTCCCGGGGCGTTCCCATTTTTGCCCTGCTCACCTGCGTGGTGCGGGGGCGTGTCCGGAGATGACCCCGCCCACCACGCATATCCGTGTCCCCGCCCCCCCACAGACGCGCGCACGCCCACGCTGGATCCCGACACGATGCACGCACGCCTGCGCCTCTCTGCCGACGGCCTGACGGTGCGCAGCAGCTTGCTGGGCCGCCTGGGGCCGACTCCCGCGATGCGCTTCGACGCGTTGTGGCAGGTGCTGGGTCGCGACTGCTTCGCCGCCGGCCGCCACTACTGGGAAGTGGACCTGCAGGAGGCGGGCTCCGGCTGGTGGGTGGGCGCCGCCTACCCCTCCCTGCGGCGCCGCGGGGCCTCGGCCACTGCCCGCCTGGGCTGCAACCGCCAGTCCTGGTGCCTCAAGCGCTTCGACTTGGAATACTGGGCCTTCCACGATTGCCAGCGCTGTCGCCTGAGGCCCCGCGATGACCCCGACCGGCTGGGCGTCTTCCTGGACTACGAGGCTGGCGTCCTCGCCTTCTACGACGTGACGGGCGGCATGAGCCACCTGCACACCTTCCGCGCTGTCTTCCAGGAGCCGCTGTACCCGGCCCTGCGGCTCTGGGAAGGGGCCATCAGCATCCCCCGGCTTCCCTAGGGACCACCGCGCAGTGAGCCCCAGGCGCGCTTGTCCCTGGCGCAGCTGGTCTGCTTTCTAAGACCTTCTCCCGGGCCTAGCTCCCCCATCAGTGGGTTGCTTTGAACCTCTTCCGGGGCTAGTTTCAAACGTGTCCCCAACACTGCTGCTGCCCTTTCCCCCACCACCATGGCTTCCACTACACTACTTTCAGTGCAGGTTTCTGAAGGGGGCGTACCCACAGGCGAGCTTTGGCATTCTGGCTTTGTCAGTGCAGTTGTGCTCAGCCAGAGAACCGTCTTCATACAGCGCCTAGACCCTCCTGGCACATAGTTAGCACACAGTAAATAACCGCCTGAGAGTGGCACAGCGGTGGCTCTTCTGTTCCTTAAGCTCCTTTGATCTGCCTGCTCTCCACCTACTTCAGCTTGTCCATGTCACCTCCCTTCAGAACAACTGCAAGGGCTTTTTACTTCCTGGTCTGAACCCTCTCTCATCTTCATCTTAAAACTAGAGGGATCTGCCTAGAACTCCCAAGAACTACAAAAATGAAAAACAAAACGCACCTTCCCTTAGCATTCAAGGCTTTTCTAGTCTGCCCTCCTCGGCTTAGCCTCATGCAGGTCCTGTTGCTCTTTTCAAAGAGGCTCCAGTCGGAACTGTCAGTTCTACCTCTGCCTCTGTGCCACCCTACCCCACCCCCACCCCACCCCACATGCGCAGGAAAAGCCTTTCTTCTCTTTGCCTGTCTCAGTCTTCTCAGCCCACAAGAATCTCTTACTGTAAGGTCCACAAATCTGGGACCTGTGTTTCCAGCTTGACTGGAAGCTTTCTAAGGGCAGCTGTGTCCTATATGCACCCTGACCTGAAAAGTTTACAAAGTCCCTTTCCTCCCAGGCAATGAATGAATGACCAGCAGGCTGCTACCACTCACTCAGAATGGCCAAGCTGGGAGGACCTCACAGATCAACTTGATCTCATTGTACATTTGGGGAGACAGGTTCTGAAAGCAAGAGCTGCCTTAAGTTACCCACAGTGACTTAGGTTTGGGCCAGTCTTGGAGCCCAGATCAAAAACCCCCTCACCAGCCACCAAGCAAGTCTAAAATGGTCCCTACCTAACCCTTCAGGCCAGGATTTCAACCTGGGAGATTTGACTGTTATCTCAGGGGAAGGATCAGCAGGTGATTTGCTAAGCAACCACAGGTATTTTTCCCAATTGTCTTAGGAGAAAAACTGGGATTTGGGTAGTTTTAGATATGCTCCACATAGATTGCCTAACTCAGATGTGACCAAGGAAACCCCCAAAACCCATTTTTTTTTAAATAAAGTGACCAAGAGAAAAGGCCAAAGGCCAGGCCCTCAGAGGCCAGCTCCTCCAGCAGAGAAAGGTGGCATCTTCCCAGGGCCCGCACCTATTTTGGAGCTCAGCATTCTGACTGTCAGTTCCCATGCTGGTTTTGAAGCTCTGATGGTGCTAAAGCATATTCTCTCGCTTTTCATTTGGGGATGCAGTATCTGATCCCCTTGTGGTTTAAACAGACTGTATGCATTCATTAGTTTGAACCATATAAAACAGTCAAGTTCCAATGATTTGGGGCTTTAAAATGGTACTTTATATAGCAATATAAGTTGACTACAAGGCAGAAGGAATCAAAGTGCCTTCAGTTCTAACCAAATAATTGAAACCTCCACCTGAATAGATGACTAAGCACTGTGTTCTAGAAATCTTGAGTAAAGAGAAAACTGAAATAGGGAATGGCCCAAGGCTGAATTCTGACAGGCAGACAACATTCCTGACAGATGTGTACTTCACATTTCCACCCAACCCTGAAGACCAACATGTCTTCCCAGACCCATCGCTACAGGGGCAAAGCCATGACAGCCCTCAGATTTGCCTTGCAACTCGCCTCATCTGAGCCTTATATAGTGTGGAAGGCAGCAGTTAGTTACCCCATTTATACATGGCAAAATAGAATGAGTTAGTTGCTCAAAGTCACAGAACTAGTGTTGGAGTAGGGGGTCTGGGCTCCTGTCCATCAGGACGTACTGTTCAGGGTGGATGCAGCTGGTCACTCCAGCTCCTCTGTTGTTGAGCTGACTGTGATGCTTTGCTCTCACCTGGTTCTATGTGGGACCTGAATCTGCCTTTGGATTGCATTCCTTGGGTTGAGATGAGGCTTTCAACCTTGAGGGGACTTGTTTTGAGAGCTTGGGATTTAGGTAGCAGAGATAGAGATGAACTATAAAACAGGAGAACAGCTGTGAGCCAAGGCCCATACTAGTGAGAAAACTGCAGCGGCAGCCCATAATCAACCATGTGATCTTGGACCATTTTACTTCCCATAGCCTTATCTGTAAAAGGGGATAATGACCCAAACTACCAATGAGTCAAGGTTATGAAATTGCCTTAAAAATTGTGCAGTGCTACATCATGCTAGGCTTTATTAGCACTTCCCCTGGGAATTTATTGTGCCCCTGCTGCAGTGCTGAGACACGTCAGGCCCAGCCACTATGTGGCAGCAGCGGGAGCCCCTCCTGGATACTCTCAGCACAGGAATGAAGCTTTCCTTGGGTCCACATCCATAAGGGTGATCATGTGCCTTAATCTCTTCCAGAATTAAATTTGTAGAAATTTCCTTATTGATGCAGCAAATTGCTTACAGTTTATTCCCCTGTGGTTCTGAAGATCCAGTCCAGATCCTCTCACAAATGCCAGGCAAGCACTCTACCGCTGAGCTACACCCCAGCCCAGTGGATATTTTTAAATGACAGCAATTTTCTAATGTGGTTTGTTTTAATAATGTATTTTTTTTTCTTGGCCCTGGGGATCAAACCCAGGACCTGACACATGCTAGGCGAGTGTTTAACCACTGAGTTACAGTGGTTTTGTTTAATAAAATCTGAATTTTGTCAGTTGCAACTGTGTTCTTCATTGGGAGCTCATGTTGCTTCAATCAAGTATGTAGCATCCAGGCCTGGACAGGCCCTGGCTCACTTCCCGTCCCCTTCACAACCTACTTGTGGTCATCAGCTGGTCCTTGATTGAACATCTCCAGTGATAGGGAGCCTACCCCTCCTGAAGTTAACTCAGTAAGTTCTTGCTTTCATGGAAACAAACCCCAACGCCCAGCTGTTCCTACCCCAGATAATATTATGTCGCTTTTGATATCTTCGTGACCATCCTTTAGCAACACGGAAGCCATTTGTGGTCACTTAACAGTTTTTGGAGATTTCAGGGATCCTCTTTTCCTATGGTATCTCTTCTGATTCCACTTTGTCAGTGACATCAGCTGGTGGGGGTGCAGCCTAGCAGAGGGCACACAGAGGTGGCACTGCAGAGCCCAGGCCTGGTATGCCAAGGCACCCTGTGTCCTGATGAGAATGCTGCATAAGAAGGGGAGTGAGCATGAGCAGGGGCCCAGGTCTGAGTCTGCCATGACCTGCTTAGAAACTCCCCACTGCCCAGCGGGGCAGACCTTTAAGCCTGTCCTTCTCTCCCATATGCCACTCCTGCTAATGCATTCCTCGGGCACACTATGGGCATTTTCCAAAACCTGTGCACATGGGTCCTCCCTCAGTCACTACACACACAGCCTGCAAGCCTGAACTACAGCGCCACCTCTTTTAGGAGGCTTCCCAACCAGTGCCCCTCTCCCACCATGCTCCTGTCTCAGCTCCCATGACTCTTGTCTACATCTTAGCAATTCTTACACATAGGGCACTGTCTGTTAAGGGGTGGGGAACTCTCAGGACAATGCTGCTTGTGGGTCTGCACATTCCACTGGTAGGTGCTCAGGGATATCTTCTAGACCTGAGCTTCCCAATTGGAACTGGCTAGAGGTGTGCTCAGATGTTAATCCTTCAGCCCTCGGGTATCCTGGTAAAGCATGAAGTACCTTTTAAGCAGCTGTTACTGGTTGCTGGCAACCTCATACTAACCCGCATGTATCACACATGCTGTCATTTTCTCTGATGCTACGATGGGAAGCATAGTCTCGACAGAGGCCCTTCTCCATTCTCTCCAACACATGATACAGCCCTCAGAAGGCAGGGAATTGAGTCTTTGTGACCTTAGAAGCTCTTCACTTCTCAGTTGCCATCAATTCCTCCCCCTTGGAGAATACAGTTTGGGGTAACAGAACCACCTGGATCTTTCTGCCATTCCAGGCTGTCAGAGCCTAGAGGTGACCCACTGCTCCTTGTCAGAAACAGCTTCCCAAATTCTCAGCTGCAGCCTAGGCCTTTCTCTCCTTTCCTTCCAGATCCAGGCCCTGGAACACCTCTTTTCTACCATATTATGTCTCTGCTATGGGGGGAAAAAGGCCATCAAATCATAAACTAGTTGTGTGTATGTATGTGTCTGTTCAGTACTTGGGACTGAACCCAGGGCACTCTACCACTGAATTGCATCCCCACACCTTTTTATTTTGAGACAGGGTCTCACTAAAGTGCCAAGGCTGCTCCTACCTCAACCTCTGCAGTAGCTGCCACTGCACCCAGCAGAAACTGTTTACTCAACCTCTGCAGAAACACTAACCAGAAACTGATACTGTCACACTTCAGTTCTTAGCAAATCAATTTGCAGTTTCACTTCAACACAGGACTGACCTCACCCCACCATAGGCCCAGCCCCCTCCAAACGTTGTTTTGGGACCCACAGGAGGAGGCCCCAGACTCACAAGTAAAGAAACTTCAAAAGGATAATTATATGCATTTGAAAGGAGAATCAAATACACTTTGAAATAAGAGGAGTTATATAGTAAATAAGGTCAAATAAATATGAACAAAGATCACAAATTTGAAAAGATATTTGAAAAGGATTAATGTCAGTATAGGCTCAAAAGAACAAAGAAAAATATGACATTGAATCGCTGTAAAAGGTTCATGCTGTGCTACTTCAAGGAAGTAAAACAATGAGAATATGATACCTGGTTTTATGATTTATGTGACAAAATTATTTTGTTGAATGTGGAAGGGCTGATCTCAGCATCACCCCAGATTTAAAACTTGTAAGCTCTGAGCCCCCTGCTGCCCATCCCTGCACACAGATCTGTTTTCTTCCCTTTGCACTTGTGCCCTCTGGTTTACTCACTGTGCTGTGGCTCTTGCACTTGCCTATCTGAGGGGCGGTTCTATAAGAAAGGACTGCGGCTGCTCACTGTTGTGTCCCCATACTCAGCAGAGCCCAACAGAGAGCAAGCCCTGGGGATTTGCTGAAAGAAGAAATGAGCTCTACTTCTGATTTGGCTCCACAGCCTCCAAGCCACACAGCTGGCCCACTAATCCCCACTGAGAAGTGGCAGCACAGCGATGTAACAGGAAGCAAGCATGGGTCACGGATGGCCAGAGCCTGACATGCAAGCACAGGCCTGACACACAAGGGAGCCAGGTGTGATGACCTGTCACACCCTAGTGGTGCTGATGGACCCAGGCTTGGTGCTAAGGCCTGTCTACACAGCACTGCAACCCCAACCCCTGATCCAGTTAGCAGTATCCACTATCTGCTAACCTCAACCTTGGAGTGGCAGGAAAACAGAAAACAGACCCTAAAGGAGATTGCACGACTAAGCAATAGCACTGAACTTTTCAAACCCTGATTTGCATAAATTTGGACCAATAGCATTGACCCAAGTACTGTATAGATCCCTAGACTAGCACACTCAAGCGGCAACCCCTCTCATCTTCCAGGAGTTGTTTCTATTTATACTCGAATGAATCCTACTCTTACACCCACTTATCCTTGCGGGTGCATTTCATTCACTAGACAAGAACCCAGAAAGAAGCCGGGTGTGGTGGCACATGCCTATAATCCCAGTGACTCAGGAGGCTGAAGCAAGAGGATCCCAAGTTCAAAGCCAGCCTCAGCAACTTAGTGAGACCCTGTATTTAAATTAAAAAAATAGAAAAGAGTCTGGGGATGTGGCTCCATGGTTAAGCACCCCTGGGTTCAATCCCTGTACCAAAATAAATAAAATAACCCAAAAAGAAGAAATTGGCAGTGAGTTTCTGGGGTCTACTGTGACACTGGAGGGTACGGTCCACCATTAGGAGCTGAGCTGCAACGCGTCACTCAATGGCAGTGGAGAAGAAACGTGCTTTCTTGGCTGCAGAGGCCTGTAGCTTACGCAGACCACACCTGCCAGCAGAAGCAGAGTGACTCCAGCTGCACTTCTGTCTTATTTGCTCAAAGGTGGGAGTGCTTTCCTCTGCCCACAAGATCTTCTGACCAATCCCTTCTCTGAGGCCAAGTGACACCACATAACACTGACTGGACCCCCAAGGGCAAGGAGAGGATAAGGGAAAAAAAGAGCAGAGACAGCAGGAGGGTCTGGCAGGAAGTGAGATCGCAGGCCATTCGGGTTTGCTCCGCAGAATGAGAGCAAAGGCTCAAAGGAAGGATAACACAGCAACACTCACCCTCTGAGTGGCCACAGAAACTGCAGGACATGTACTTGTCTTGGTCCCTCTGGGACAGCCAGCTTGAAGCAGAGACTGCCTCATTTGCTCTTTTTATCTTTCTAACAGGCCAGACCTGGGCTTGGCCCAGAAATGGCACCTGTGTAAAGGGAGTGGGGTGGAGACCAGCACTCCTGCCCCACCTCACCCAACACCCTGCACAGTACAATGAGGCAGTTAAGACTTCAGAGAATGGCACTTTATTTTAAGACTTGATTTTTTTGCCATGATTTTCTACTGAGTCTTCTAAGATGGTATCGTCTTCTTCAATAGTGACCAGAACCTTCTTGCCCACCAGATTGAAGATGTCTTCAGGCAGATACCCTTTGGGCTCACTGACCTTCACAGTAAGCATATCCAGTGTGAGAATGGTGCCTTCTGGAATTTTCACTTTGGCCACCACTGACTTGCCCAGCTGTGGAGAATAGGAGCTCAGTGTCAGATTCACAAAAGGAGCTCCTACACTGCATCACACCCAAGGTCCCTGATCAGTCTCCACAGGCACCTTGGGAGCAAGGACTCTGTTGTCCCCATAGTGCCCACTCAGGTCCTCGCCACTGTGGAGTGGCTTCACAGATTCAGAGGAGGCCCTTACAGTCTAGTGCAAGGAGAGGATGAAGCTATGGAGAGAGCCAGATCTAATGCCCATTAGCTGGGGAGAAGAGCATTCTAGTTTTGCTGAAAAATGGGGGAAAAATGGTATTTGTATCTTTTATTTGTTTGTTTGTTGTTTGCTGTACTGGGGATAGAACTCAGGCTAGACCCATTTTAACTTTTATTTTGAGACAAGTTCTCACTAAATTGCCAAGGCTGGCCTTGAACTTGCCATCCTTCTGCCTTGGCCCCTGCCTAATAACTGGGATTCATCAGTGCCTACACCTTGTGAGATGACTGTCAAGATCAGTGATAATATGTGGTGTTCCTGGGATGCAGAATGCTCTCAATACGTGAAAACTAGCCACTCTTGTCCTTACCCAGTTCAACATCTCACTGTAAACATGGAGAGTCTAAGGCCCCCGGGACAGCTGACTTGAGCAAGGATGCAGCCAGCCAGCATGAGAACCTGGAGGACACTGCTGACTCAGGGACACACACCCAACTGCCACTTTGATAAAATAGGACTATGGTGGGGGTGGGGTGAGGGGCTCACAAGTCAGGGAGGGTGACTGTCATTTGAATGTCAGGAAAGGGGCTCTGTAGGAAGGGGCACAGGACAGGCAGGTGGGAGGAATAAAGGCTACCTGTAGCCCGTGACCAGCATTTCTGCTCTCCATAAATGCTTCAAAACGTTACTCCAGGCAAGGCCCCAAGATATCAATTCTGCTTGGAATTTAATGCCAGGAAAACATATCTGTCAACCGATGATTACCAAGCTATGCACCTCACTGTGTTTCACTGTTTGCTCAGGAGCCCAATCATGTGCTCAGCTGCTTCATTCCCATTCTGATTTCTGGTGGGTTTATC